CTACAGTAATTAAGACAGTATAGTACTGGCACAAAAACAGAAATATAGATCAATGGTACAGGATAGAATGCCAGAGATAAACCCATGCACATATGGGCACCTAATTTATGACAAAGGAGTCAAGAACATACAATGGAGAAAAGACAGCCTCTTCAATAAGTGGTGCTGGGGAAACTGGACAGCTACATGTAAAAGAATGAAATTAGAACACTACCTAACACCATACACAAAAATAAACTCCAAATGGATTGAAGACTTAAATGTAAGACCAGACACTATAAAACTCTTAGAGGAAAATATTGGAAAAACACTCTTTGACATAAACCACAGCAAGATCTTTTTTGACCCACCTCCTGAAGTAATGGAAATAAAAATAAAAATAAACAAATGGGACTTAAAACCTTTTGCACAGCAAAGGAAACCATAAACAAGACAAAAAGACAACCCTCAGAATGGGAGAAAATATTTGCAAGTGAAACAACAGACAAAGGATTAGTTTCCAAAATATACAAACAGCTCATGGAGCTCAATATCAAAAAAACAAATAATCCAGTTAAAAAATGGGTGGGGGCTTCCCTGGTGGCACAGTGGTTGAGAGTCCGCCTGCTGATGCGGGGGACACGGGTTCGTTCCCCAGCCCAGGAGGATCCCACATGTCGCAGAACGGCTGGTCCCGTGAGCCATCGCCGCTGAGCCTGTGTGTCCGGAGCCTGTGCTCTGCAACGGGAGAGGCCACAACAGTGAGAGGCCCACGTACCGCAAAAAAAAAAAAAAAAAAAAAAAAAAAGCCGGAAGACCTAAGACATTTCACCAAGGAAGATGTACAAATGGCCAAGAGGCACATGAAAAGGTGCTCAACATCACTTATTACTAGAGAAATGCAAATCAAAACTGCGAGGAGTTATCACCTCACACTGGTCAGAATGACCATTATCCAAAAATCTCGAAATAGTAAATGCTGGAAAGGATGTGGTGAGAAGGGAACCCTCTTGCACTGTTGATGGGAATGTAAATTGATACAGCCACTATGGAGAACAGTATGGAGGTTCCTTAAAAAACTAAAAATAGAACTACCATGTGACCCAGCAATCCCACTACTGGGCATATACCCTGAGAAAACCATAATTCAGAAAGAGGCATGTACCACAATGTTCATTGCAGCACTATTTACAATAGCCAGGACATGGAACCAACCTAAATGTCCATCAACAGATGCATGGATAAAGAAGATGTGGCACATATATACAATGGAATATTACTTAGCCATAAAAAGAAAAGAAATTTAGTCATTTGTAGTGAGGTGGATGGACCTAGAGTCTGTCATACAGAGTGAAGTAAGTCAGAAAGAGAAAAACAAATACCATATGCTAACGCATATATATGGAATCTAGGGGAAAAAAATTGGTACTGATGTACCTAGTGGCACAGCAGGAATAAAGAGGTAGACATAGAGAATGGACTTGAGGACATGGGGTGGGAGGGCAAAGCTGGGGCGAAGTGAGAGTAGCATCGACATATGTACACTACTGAATGTAAAATAGCTAGTGGGAAGCAGCAGCATAGCACAGGGAGATCGGCTCTGTGCTTTGCGATGATCTAGAGGGGTGGGATAGGGAGGATGGCAGGGAGGCTCAAGAGGGAGGGGATATGGGGACATGTGTATGCATATGGCTGATTTGCTTTGTTGTGCAACAGAAACTAACACAGTATTGTGAAGCAATTATACTCCAGTAAAGATGTATTAAAATAAAAAGATACATGTACCCCTATGTTCATAGCAGCACTATTTACATTATAGCAGCACTATTTACAGTAGCCAAGACATGGAAGCAACCTACGTGTCCATCAACAGATGAATGGATAAAGAAGATGTGGTACACACACACACACTGGAATACTACTCAGCCATAAAAAAATGAAATAATGCCATTTGCAGCAACATGGATGGACCTAGAGATGATCATACTAAGTAAGCCAGAAATGAACTTATTTACAAAACAGAAACAGACTCACAGACATAGAAAACAAACATGGTTATCAGAGGGGAAGGTGGGGAGAGATTAATTAGGAGTTTGGGATTAACAGATACTACTATACATAAAATAAATAAAAAACAAAGTCCTACTGTATAGCACAGGGAACTATATTTAATATCTTGTAATACTCTATAATGGAAAAGAATCTGAAAAAGAATATATACATGTATAGATAGATAGACAGATACATGTATAACTGAATCACTTTGCTGTGCACCAGAAACTATCACAACATTGTAAACCAACTATACTTCAATAAATAAAAAGCTTTGTACTTTAGCACTTACATTTTGATCTATAATTCATCTCAAAATAATTTTTGTTTATAGTGTGAAATTGGGATTAGAATTTATTTATATATGGATTTCCAGGTGTTGCAGAACAATTTCTACCTTGTATTGCCTTTTGGCAAAATTAATTGAACATATATGTAGGGTCTACCACTGGATTTTTAAATTCCATTTCATCCATCAATTCAACTATCTTTTAAAAAAAAATTTTAAATAAACTTATTTATTTTTGGCTGCATTGGGTCTTCGTTGCTGTGCTTGGACTTTCTCTAGTTGCGGCGAGCGGGGGCTACTCCTTGTTGCGGTGTGTGGTCTTCCCATTTCGATGGCTTCTCTTGTTGCAGAGCACAGCCTCTAGATGCACGAGCTTCAGTAGTTGTGGGACGCGGGCTCAGTAGTTGTGGCTTGCAGACTCTAGAGCACAGGTTCAGTAGCTGTGGCGCGTGGGCTTAGTTGTTCCACGCATGTGGGATCTTCCCGGACCAGGGCTCGAACCCATGTCCCCTGCATTGGCAGGCGGCTTCCCAACCACTGCGCCACCAGGGAAGCCCAATTCAACTGTCTTTATGGCAATACAACACTGTCTTGATTACTAGATGTATTAGTTTGTTGGGGAAAACTAATTGGAAGTATTTAGGGATGTGAACATTGCCTTCAATTTTGACTTAGATGTAAATAGTAAATATGCACTGTCAATTGAGAAGGAATGCACAACCTAAAAGTTGAGAATTACGCCTTTCAGATAGGTCTAAGGGACTGCTCCAAAGAGATAACGGAGGGGCCAGAATATATATGAGTTTTGGTTTTTTTTAAATTTTATGTAGTTTATTTATCTGGTTGCGCTGGGTCTTAGTTGCACCAGACGGGCTCCTTAGTTGTGGCAGGCACTCTTAATTGTGGCATGCATGTGGGATCTAGTTCCCCAACCAGGGATGGAACCCTGGCCCCCTGCATTGGGAGGGCGGAGTCTTAACCACTGGACCACCAGGGAAGTCCCATATGAGTTTTTGCAAAACAAAAAAATCCCCAGGTAGTCAGAACAGCTAATTAAAGGAAACCAGACATCTTTTAAGTTAGTGAATTTAGCACTTTTCTAGGTAAGGGAAGATGCGGAGTCTGGGCTTATTTTTATTTTTTAAACTTTATTAATTTAAGTATAGCTGATTTACAGTGTTGTGTTAGTTTCAGGTGTACAGCAAAGTGATACAGTTATACATATATATCTATATCTATATTCTTTTTCAGATTCTTTTCCATTATAGGTTATTACAAGATATTTAGCATAGTTCCTGTGCTATAGAGTAGGTCCCTGTTATTTTATTCTTTTTTCTTTTAAGGCGCTATGCTAGTTTTGCAATACTGTACTTGTTTTGTGTGTGTGTGTGTGTGTGTGTGTGTGTGCGTGTTTTAGTTTTGACTGTGCTGGGTCTTCACTGCGGCATGTGAACTCTTAGTTGTGGCACGCGGGATCTAGTTCCCCGACCAGGGATCGAACCGGGGCCCCCTGCCTTGGGAGTGGGGAGTCTTACCCACGGGACCACCAGGCAAGTCCCTCTATTCTGTTTTAGCCTGGGCTGATTGAAATAATTCCTTTCCTATGCACCTTAACCATCTAGGACCAGTATCCTGCTTTTCTCCATCCTGAATCGCCCCAAGGTGCACCGCTGAGGGCGGCTGCAGGGGCTGCTGGTTGGCCAGGCCCAACATCCTTTGTTTATTGATGGGGCAGGCAACATTCTTAGTCCAGGACAGGCACTGTCAGGGCTGCCTGAACACCTGCGTTTTGAGCACAGATGGGTTACAAGATGACTTCCATATAAGGGAGTGAGTTGAGCATAACATGAACTTCACATTTGTTTGGGTGCAGTTTTCCCCGAGGGAAACACTAGGTGAGCTTAAGAAACTGTACACAGGGACTTCCCTGGTGGTGCAGTGGTTGAGACTCTGCCTGCCAATGCAGGGGACACAGGTTTGAGCCCTGGTCCGGGAAGATCCCACATGCCGCGGAGCAGCTAAGCCCGGGCGCCACAACTACTGAAGCCCGTGTGCCACAACTACTGAGCCCGCGTGCCACAACTACTGAGCCCGTGCGCCACAACTACTGAAGCTCGTGCGTCTACAGCCCGTGCTCCGCAACAAGAGAAGCCACCGCAATGAGAAGCCTGTGCACCACAAGGAAGAGTAGCCCCCCGCTTGCCGCAACTAGAGAAAGCCCGGGGGCAGCTACGAAGACCCAACGCAGCCAAAAATAAAATTAATTAATTAATTAATTAATTTTTTAAAAAAGAAAAGAAACTGCACACAGTCGGTTGAACAGAGCCTGGTAAGAACACATAGACACATACACACCACAGGAAAGGCTTTTCAGGATAATTCCAGGAATAGTTTCTGAAATTTCAAAGGCGGCAGAATTACACCCGACCCTGCTTAGTAATAAATAATAGATGAAACAAGTTATGAAGAATTACCACAAAATTCAGGGTGGTGGTGACCGCTGGGGTCTGTGGGAGTAGCAGTCAGGGTGGGGCACCCTCAAAAGACCAGGAGTTGCCTCAGTCTGTTCATAAGTGTGGGTGCCCAGTCTATGGTGCCCGTTTATTATTTATTCCTTAAGCTTAGCGAGTGAAAAAAAAAAGCACAACCTAAATGTTGAGAATTATGTTTTATTTGGCAGATGTTCTGAGGACTCAAGCCCAGAAGACAGCTTCTCAGATCACTCTGAGGGACCGCTCCAAAGAGGTAAGGGAGGAACCAGGGTACAGAGAAGTTTTGCAACAAAACCCAAGTAGTTGGAACAGCAAAAAGATTACTGTTAATTAAAGAAAACCAGGGAGTTCCCTGGTGGCCTAATGGTTAGGATTTGGACTTTTCACTGCAAAGGCCTGGGTTCGATCCCTGGTCTGGGAAGCATCCCGCATGCCACTCGGTGTGGGCAAAATACAAAAAAACAAATTAAAAGGAAAAAAAAAAAAAAAAAGAAATCCAGACATCTCAAGTTAATGAATTTAGCACTTTTCTGGGTATGTGAAGATGCAGGAGTCTGGGCTCATTGAAATCATTCCTTTGCTGTGCACCTTGACTGTCTAGGACCAGTATCTTGTTCTTTCTAATCCTGAGTCCCCACCCCCCCGCCCCCAGTGTGCACCGTTTTGGGGGGTGGCTGCAGTGGCCGAGGACTTGGCGGGCAGCAGCCCCTTTGTCTCCATCCTGAGTTCCCTCCTGGCTCACTGTTGGGGCTTGGGGGCGGCGGGGTAGGGCTGGTAGTGGCTGATGGCTTTATGGCCACAGCACCCTTTGTCTGCTGATATGGCAGGCAACATTTTTCATTCACAATCTGAACACGATTTTTTTAACTTAAAATGATTAAACGTAGCGTACAACATTTAGTGCATTCTTTTCTGAGTGCCACGTATTGTACTTCTCCATAATATTTCAAAGGCGATTTTAAGCATGAAACAATATCCAGTTTTCCAATATTTTCTTCACCATATTAGGTCACCCCCTCCCAGTTTTTTGTTTTTTTTTTTGCGGTATGCGGGCCTCTCACTGTTGTGGTCTCTCCCGTTGCGAAGCACAGGCTCCGTCCCTCGCAGTTTTGATTCCAATCTTGGTTTGGAAGAGCTTCTAAAATCTTTCATTCCGGTCCCTTGAAACTTAACCATTGTTTTGTTTTTGTTTTTTACAGATGTAAGGGCAAATCAAATTGAGAACAAGAGCCCTAACTCTCCCTGTTGAAAATAAGGAAAGAGATTTATCCCTTCTCCTTTTGGTAGAGCATTTTCTTTAGAGAACGTGTGGTGGGGTAAATTCTTTCTCTGTCCTTTGAAATGTAAATAAACCTTTTTAAAAACTAAATAAGGCTCTTGCCAGCTTTACCACCCGGGAGTCTTTCGGGAGGACCTGAGAGCCTTCTCCCTGAAATGCAGTTGTCAGGGGAGCCCGTGCCCCTCTGTGCAAAACTCCCTCCTGTCCTAAAGGTAAAAGTGGGTTTTGCCTTTGAATAAAGTCAGTTAACTAACACAGACGGTCACCCAATTACCAGGAGGAGTGAATTTGAACTAAGCGTGACCGATGCCCTCGGGGTCTCTCACCTGAGGACTGGTTATGGCTTATCTTGAGAACAGGTATTCATGAGTTGCATCCATTTAGCTCCAAAAGGGGACGAAATGTTTTTCTGTTTTTGCAATCTCTTAGCGGATTGCCTGCGATGTGCCTCACATTTTGGCTTAGTGCTATCAATAATAAAAGTTTTTTTTTTTAATTCTTATTGGAGTATAGTTGATTCACAATGCTGTGTTAGTTTCTGCTGTACAGCAAAGTGAATAAGTTATACATTTATCCACTCTTTTTTAGATTCTTTTTCCATATAGGTCATTACAGAATATTGAGCAGAGTTCCCTGTGCTATACAGTAGGTCCTTATTAGTTATCTGTTTTATATATAATAGTGTGTGTATGTCAATCCCAATCTCCCAATTTATCCCTCCCCACTTTTCCCCCCGCTGGTAACCATAAGTTTGTTTTCTACACCTATGACTCTATATCTGTTTTCTTTCTTTTCTACATTTGTGAGAGGTTTTCTGGGTTGGCAGGAGGTCTTGTTTTCAACTCTTTGTGAATTAAAAATGCTACTTGCCGGGAATTCCCTGGTGGTCCAGTGGTTAGGACTCGGTGCTTTCACTGCTGGGGGGCCCGGGTTCAATCCCTGTTCGGGGAACTAAGATCCCAAAGCCCTGCGGGGCAGCCAAAAAATAAATAAAAATAAAAAAAATTAAAATGCTGCCTTCCCTATCAGTAAACAAAGGACGTTGCAGCCATCACATGACAGCCACCCCTGAAGGGGAGCCCCGAGGGAACTCAAGGTGGAGACAGGATGTCCCCCAGCAAGCTGTCAGCCTCTGCAGCCACCCCCCACCCTCCAATGATGCACCCTGAGGACACTCAGGATGAGAAAGCCCAGGATACTGGCCCCAGATAGCTGAGGTGTATCTTGGAATTTAAAAAGCCACTAGCCTTAACTGTCTCTTCCTCTTTTATCTGAATTGCCTGATCCCGAGGCTCTCTCTCTCTCTCTCTCTCTCTCTCTCTCTCTGTCTCTCTCTCCCCCATCAACCTCGCCTCCTGCTGCTTCCCCTTTCCCAGCAAAGGAAGACAGAAAATCAGAAGCAATCACAGCTCCCTTTATGGAGAAACCTGTTACAGGGAGAGATGAACTGTCCTTGGTGCTTAGGTGCACACCCTTGGACCAGAGCAGAACTTACAGCTTTAGCTAAGGAATTTCCCAAACCTAGTCAAGATCCACCGGGATTTGCTAAGGAGTTTGAGTTAACCATCCGAACCTATGAGCCCAGCTTTGCAGATCTATATCAATTAATATAGCTGTTAGTTTCCGAAAGTAAAGCACAGGAGTGGATAGAGAAAGCAAGCTGAAAGACGCCCTCAGAGAATTTCCATCTACGTAGCCCGCAGACTGGAGCTGAATGCAGGCAGTTGGCTGGTAAACTACTCAGACTTATCCCAGGGCTTTTCCCCAAAGCCTTAGACTGGGCAAAGATTCAGCAATGTAGACAAAGACCAGAGGAATCAATCGCGGATTACTATGAGGGCTTCGAGAAAACTTCGAAACAATATTCAGGCGTGACACCTGACTCATTCTCTAACCACCAAAATGATCCTCTACTTAACTCTGCCTTTTTAGAAGGCATAGATGGTGAATTGGCTACTCTATTTTTTTATTATTATTATTTTTATTGAAGTAGAGTTGTTAATTTCTGCTGTACAGTAAAGTGATTCGGTTATAAGTATATATACACCCTTCTTCATATTCTCTTCCATTATGGTTTATCACAGGATATTGAATATAGTTCCCTGTGCTAGACAGTAGGACCTTGTTTATGCATCCTATATATAATAGTTTGCATCTGCTAACCCCAAACTCCCACTCCTTCCCACCTCCACCCACTTCCCTTGGCAGCCACAAGTCTGTTCTCTATGTCTGTGAGTCTGTTTCTGTTTTGTAGATAAGTTCATTTGTGTTGTATTTTACTTTATTTTTTAATTTTTGGCTGCACCACGAGGCTTGTGGGATCTTAGTTCCCTGACCAGGGATTGAACCCGGGCCCTCGGCAGTGAGAGCATGGAATCCTAACCACTGGAGCTCCAGGGAATTCCCTGTGTCGTATTTTAGATTCCACATATAAGTGATATCATATGGTATTTGTCTTTCTCTTTCTGGCTTACTTCATTTAGTATGATAATCTCTAGGGCCATCCATGTTGCTGCAAATGGCATTATTTCATTCTTTTTTATGGCTGAGTAATATTCCATTGTATGTATATACCACATCTTCTTTATCTAGTCATCTGTCGATAGACATTTAGGTTGTTTCCATGCCTTGGCTATTGTAAATAGTGCTGCTATGAACATAGGGGTGCGTGTATCTTTTTGAATTATAGTTTTGTCTAGATATATGCCCACGAGTGGGACTGCTGGCTTATATGGCAACTCTATTTTTATTAACTGACAATCTTTTATCTCCTAGGATTGACCTTCGAGAAAGCCCAATGGATAATTCTGATTTTATATTACTCACTGATGGTTCATATCTACAAGGACCTCGTGGAAGGTAACAGGCTGGCTATGCCATTGTTTCTCCAGTGTCTATCTTTGAAAATGGTCCCTTGCCTTATATCTATTCCACCCAACAGGCTGAATTAATAGCACTAATAAGAGCCTGTTGGTTGGCAAAAGGAAAATTTGTTAATATTTACACAGCTAGTATGCTTTTGGAGTGGCATATGATTTTGGTATGCTTTGGAAACAAAGAGGACTTTTTTTTTTTTTTTGGGCCTCGCTGCATGTGGAATCTTAGTTCCCCAACCAGGGATCGAACCCATATCCCCTGTATTGGAAGTAGAGTCTTAACCACTGGACAGCCAGGGAAGTTCCAAAGAGGGCTTTTTAACATCCTCAGGACCGTGTATCAAAAATGGGAAACAGACACAAATGAACCTATCTACAAAACAGACAAACTCACAGACATAGAGAATAGACTTGTGGGGACTTCCCTGGTGGTGCAGCGGTTAAGAATGCTTCTGCCAATGCAGGGGACACGGGTTCAAGCCCTGGTCTGGGAACATCCCACATGCCGTGGAGCAACTAAGCCCATGTACCACAACTACTGAGCCCGAGTGTTACAACTACTGAGCCCGTGTGCCACAACTACTGAAGCCCGAGTGCCTAGAGCCCGTGCTCCGCAGCAAGAGAAGCCACAGCAATGAGAAGCTGCACACTGCAATGAAGAGTGGCCCCCGCTCGCCACAACTAGAGAAAGCCGGTGTGCAGCAACAAAGACCCAACACAGCAAAAAATAAATAAATAAATTTATTTTAAAAAAAAGAAAAAAAAAGAGAGAGAATAGACTTGTGGATGCCAAGGCAGTGGGGGTGGTGGAGGAGGGATGGGTTGGGAGTTTGGGGTTAGCAGATGCAAACTATTATATATAGAATGGATAGACAACAAGGTCCTACTATATAGCACAGGGAACCATATTCAATATCCTGTGATAAACCATATTGGAAAAGAATATATGTATAAAAAAGAATGTGTATATATATATATATATATATATATATATACACATAACTGAATCACTTTGCTGAACAGTAGAAAGTAATACAACATTGAAAATCATCTATACTTAAATTAAAAAAATAGGAAATAAGTAGTGGAGTTACTAGATGCAATTCTTTTTTTAAAAAATTTATTTATTCTGGCTGTGTTGAGTCTTTGTTGCAGCCCTCAGGCTTTCTCTAGTTGTGGCGAGCGGGGGCTACTCTTCGTCGCGGTGGGTAGGCTTCTCATTACCGTGGCTTCTCTTGTTGCGGAGCACGGGCTCTAGGTGCGTGGGCTTCAGTAGTTGTGGCACGTGGGCTCAGTAGTTGTGGCTTGTGGGCTCTAGAGCGCAGGCTCAGTAGTGGCGCACGGGCTTAGTTGCTCCACGGCATGTGGGATCTTCCCGGACCAGGGCTCGAACCTGTGTCCCCTGCATTGGCAGGCGGATTCTTAACCACTGCACCACCAGGGAAGTCCCTAGATGCAATTCTGCTACCAAGGGCACTTGCCATTGTTAAGGCATCAGATCATTCTAAGGGTGACACTGCAGAAGCAAAAGGAAATTCTCTAGTGGATAACACTCCCAAGCAGAAGCTTTACAAACCAACAAGGACCAACTAACCGCTGCCTTTCCCTTGCAGCCTCCCAGTAACCTTACTGACATATTGTTCAAGTTTCAGAGAATGGTACCAGACAAAGAAAAAGACACCTGGACACAGAATGCAGGAAGATTCAACTCCAATACAGAGCTGTGGATAGGCCCAAAAGGGAAGCCTATCCTTCTGTTTGGAGCTCAATATCCTATTTTACAATATACTCATGAGTTAACGCGTTGGAACCCAGATAAGATGGTGTTATGGGGTAAACAATATTTTTGGAAGCCTTCTTTTACTATAGCTCCAAAGGTCTATTCAGGATACAGTCCTTGTCCCAAATATAACCCATGGAAGCCAATCCATTGTTCTCAAGGACATTTTCCATTACCTGTGGGTCCTTTTGAAGTATACCAGGTTGGTTTTATACAAATGCCTCCTTCCCATGGTCATCAATATGTTCTTGTTATGATTTGTACGTTTTCACACTGGGTTGAGGCATTCCCATGTAGATGTGCCACAGCACAATCAGTAGGGAAATTGATTTTAATATTTATTTATTTGTTATTTTTATTTATTTATTTTGGTTGCGCCGGATCTTAGTTGCAGCATTCAGGATCTTCAGTTGTGGCAAGCGGGATCTTTAGTTGAGGCACGTGGGATCTTTAGTTACGGTATGCGGACTCTTGGTTGTGGCATGCATGCAGGATCTAGTTCCCTGAACAGGGATCAAACCTGGGCCCCCTGCATTGGGAGAGTGGGGTTCGATCCCTGGTTGGGGAACTAAGATCCCACAAGCCGTTTGCTGTGGCCAAAAAAAAAAAAAGATAGTGATTGGTATGGAGCATTTTGGGTCAGGTGACCAGGAATATAATGGGTCGCACCTAATGGGACTCGATGGCTTTGTGGGTTCAACCTATGGCCCTGACTTCTGCCATGATGGATAGGAAGATGTACTTTGGGATTCCCTTAGACGCAACCCCAGCAAATTTACCGTCAATATGAGCCCGATGAACCAAAAGATCTGTGTCTCACTGGTAGGATCACTTAACAGCTATT